CGCTGGAAATCTCCAACTATACAGAAATGAAATATATTTCCTTTTTTTTTTTACACATTACCTATTCCTCCTTCTATCATGAATAAGCATATATACCAGTGGTGCATAGTACCCCTTGTAATTGTTTTTTAGTTTGGGAAAAAAGTACCCGTTGCCCCTATTCTTTGTGATCATTTCTCATATGTTTTTGAGGAACTAAAAGAGCTGGAATTTAGCTACTGCAAACCTTGTTAGGGTAAAACAGAAAATGCAGTCAAACTTCCTTGCTCCCTCACGTGGGAACAACGCAGCCCCTCCAGTGATCCTTCTGGTGCTTCAAATGAGCATGTTTCTCTGGCACTACACGGACCTTCCCGCAGATTCAATTGGGAGTTGTTATTTTTTGTTTCATTTCACATCTACTGTCTCATTTCTTGTGTGCCTTAATGCAAATGGCTGTGCTGACTGTATCTCAGTAGTCTTTATTCCTATGCAGGTCTCTAAGGAGTTACATCATCATGCGTCTTTTTTTAAAAGAAAAACATACAACAGAAAAAACGTTTTTGGCTTTGTACATTAAGCCACCCAACTTTTGTTTTGTTTTGATTTAAGAATCCTTTCTGGAAATCAGACTGTTAATTCTCGGCCCAACAGGTTGCTCTACGATCTCTTCCCCTTCCGTTTTCTCCTGTGGAAGAACTTCAGATCATGAAAATGATTTTTTTGTTTTGTTTTTACAATTAGCACTAACTCGTGTAACTCTAGGTGGGTTTTTTTGTGGGGGGGGGAACATACCCTTTGACCCTGTTGATAAAGTTGCAACAGCAAGTAGGATTGCTTATGCTAAGTTAGTTATAGATGCATCCTGTACTTTGGCATTTGAGTGAAGTTGGTGTTTCTGTGCTGTCATTTGCTGTTCCTTCGTACCAAATATAAAGTTTTGCACTGACGTTGCTGCAGTGATGCAAAACATTTTTAACAGGGCGATGCGTTTGTGAGTCATCGCCCTCCCTTCCAGCAGGAATTGTGCAATTATTCCAGAGCAGAAACTTGTGAGGCCCAAAGGGCCCTTCAGTTCGCTGCACATGCCTCACAGACCTGAATTTTCTTTTTGGATAGTTCAGGGAGTCTTTGTTTAGCGACCACAATTGGAACCACTGGCCACCATTAAGTGAAGGTAATGTGACTGTACTTGCGCTCCGGCTCCAGCTTTCCTTAGCTATACCGACCTGCGATGGTCGTAAAAACAAGGATTAGTCGCAAAGTGATCTTTTCACGGTTGTCATAACTACAAATGGCCATTGCCCAAGGCTGTCACTAAACAAGGACCGCCTGCAGTCCCCGATACTGCACGAAAAACAAATTTTTGAAATCTTACAGGAATTTGTATTACATCAATGAAGAGCTGGCTGGATTTTAAAAAAAAACTACTCTAAAATGCTGAAATATTATTCATCGTCTTTGTAAAACCCTCAGCTTAAAGCATGCCTGAAGTCGCTCTTTGGTTTGATCTTGGTTCTCTAGGATCTTAGCAACACTCTGAAAATTCATTCAGAGGTATATATAGAGATATACATTGGGTGGTTTCTGACCTAATACATTTCCATTAAGGAGATATGGCTTGAAATTATCCTCAATACAAACCCTATGCTGGGAACAAGAACTTCAGGTAAATTAGATGTGCTAGGATCCTTGGCCAAATGGGTGAACAGTCCACCCTTTTCAAGATTGCTAGGGGGTTATCAGCTTGACAGAAGGCTAAATCCTCCTAGCATGACTTTTCTTAATTGATCAACCCCTCTTAATAAGACTCATCCCCCTTTTAAGCTAATGAATGGGTTCAAACAATGGAGGTGATGGTGTAAAATAGTTGGAATGCATATATGATAAGATTTCAGCAAGACTGCATAGCACACAAATCTTTCTAGAAAGGAGTTGCAAAGAATCAAAGACCTATTAATAACTTTATATATATATATGGCATATAAAGAAATGAGGCTGTGCAGCACTTTGGAACAGTTCCAGAAAGGTGCTTTGGAATGCGTAAGGGTGTGGATGTATCAGCTGTATGCAACTCTTTAAAGCAGCTGCATCTTTTCCTGGGGATTGCACAGCAAAATCCTAGTAGGGAATGCTTTAAGCCTTTTACCTATTATAGGACGTTAATGCATAGGCAAGTGTACTGTGTGCACAAGAAATATATAGTAAATAAGTAACATAAATGATTCCTCCCAGATATCAACCATGGGGGAGGGGGGGAGAAAGTTTGAAATTTAGAATGTGAAAGACTTTTAAAAAGAGAGATTTTTTTTCCTCACTTTGTTGTGCAAGAAAACACTGCTTTGCTATATTTAAAAAAAGAAAAGCTTTTTTTAAAAGAAATAAATATATATATATGTACTTAGTAATTGTTTGTAGTCGACAGTTCACAGACGAAGCTGTTTGCGGTTAAAGCCGCCTGGCGGCACAAGCTGGACTTTGTTGCCATCTTTAAGATGAATCTTTAAGAGAAAAAAAAAATTAAGTTAATCTTTTTCCCTGAATGTGGTGTTTTTTTCTTCATTATACAATAAATATTCTAGTGAACTTTTTATCAAATGGTTAAGAAAATGCTAGAAGTTGTTGTAAAATATTTGTATCTTGCATTCACTAAAGTAAAAATACTGGCTTTTACTGTGTATATCAGACTCACTCCTATTTAGAATGCCTGGTTATTCTACCTTCCCCGGTTTCTGAGTCTTTTCTAAGCTTGATTCATCTTTTTCTTAGTCATTGTCCTGTCACCAAATGCCCCTACCTTATTGTATGAACTTGAAAGTGGAGCTGTCCAACTTCATCAGGCTTTCCATCCAAAAAATTTTTTTTCTTCTCTGCCAGCTCAGTCTTGACTGTCTAAATCAAACATGACCCCCCTATTCCCTCCTCCCAGAAATGTCGAGCTGCATCACCATGGACCGTCACGAAGGTTTGGCTCAGCATTGCTAATTATAGTCCAGCTTAGCCGATCAGACTAAAACAAATTTCACCTTTTTGAAACATGACCCATTTTCATTGCAACCGGAGATTCAGAATCATGCTAACTTTTTTGAAACTAGCCCTCATTTAGAAGACTCCCTGTTAAAACCATGGGTTTTCTGATTGAACGAGTTCACAAATTTGAACTAGCCAACAAATGCATTTTTGGTAATGAATTAAGAGTTGGAAGGTGTTTGTTACATACGAAATCATTTTTTTTAAAAAAAAAGTAATTACAGCTGACTTCGAGGAATTGCCTATATTCAGTCCAAGAAATAATACCCGAACTGGTGTATCCTGATATAAGCTGGGTTCACCCTAAATTGTAATATCGCTTGTTTGAAATTGGTTTGGCGTCTTATATAAGCCCAACAAACTGTGGTTTATTCAGCAAGCTGCGGTCGGCTAGTCATGGCTTAGAAGCGTAAGCCAGGTGAGCTGTTAGCAGCAGCTGCCTCGGATTCAAATATCTGCCCAAGCCATTTGCTTTGTTCAACTGATGATGGAAAACAAATATTTGGAAAGGCCTCATTTAAACTGTCCTGTTGACATCCAAAAACATGTTCTTTGGATTGAAATGTGTCGAAAAAGCAGGATCATTTTCAGAGAACAAACCTCTCCACATTTTCTCATCTTGTACTCCTACTTTGAGTTGTTCTATGCTCTGTCTGATGTCATATTTGATGGTGTCCAGCAACCATGTTCTCTGGCCTGGTTCCCTTGGAATATAGCTAGGGGTATTTAAAATAAGTGGGGTTTTTTTCCTCTGTAAATGCCTCAATGTAAGTTACTTTTTGCTTCTAAAACCTGATGCATATGAGAGAAAAAGAAGAGTTCCTATCACTGAGAAATTACTAGGATCCCCAAACTAACATGTGGCAAATAGAGTGACACTTTGACGGGTAAACATAATACTTCAACTTTATTCAAACACAGAGTCATAGCTCAAAAGTTGATAAGTTTAAATACTCAATGAAAAATATTGCAAAGATTCTTAAACTACTTCAAAAATTTCAAGTTTGCTTATGTCTTTTTAATTATAGTATTTGAGTTTTATAAGAGAAATACTTTTTATTTATTTTTTTAATTACAGCAATGGAGGACAAGGTGAAAAAAGAGGCAGTTTTGCATAGGAAGAGTGAAGAGGGACAATCTCCTTTCTGTTTCCCCATATTCAAGATGCTCCCATTTCCGCCAAAAAATTCTCCTGGCCCAATACATGTTAAAAGAAAGAACTTCAGTAGTGCAATAAGTCCATTAAATGTTTCATTTGTCTCACATTTGACAAGATAACTGATAATGACATGGTACATAATTTGGGATCGTAGGACTTTCTTTGCTTGCATTATTCAGATTGGTTAACTGGATTGCATTAATATCAATGAATAGGAATGTTTTCTTGCAGATATCTCATTACCCAAAGTAGGTAACTTCATCATGTGAAAACCTTTGCAAGAAAACCAAGATCAGACAGCACCAAGGACCGCTCATTTCAACAAATATTCTCCTTTATTGGTAGAATGTTAATCATTTTTCACTGCACCATCCTGAGAAATTGGGAAGAACTGTTTTAATATCTTCCCCTTGATGATTAATACTTTATAGAGAGCAATGAGGGAAGTCCAGTTATCCCATTGCTGGTTTTTTGCTCTTGCATATTTCATCCAATTCTGAGATTAGATTCACCACTAATCAAACAATGAAAGAGGGAGGGAAGCCAGCAAATTTAGAACAATTGCCTGAAACAAAAGTTCTCCACATCAACCCTTTACTGGCTGCATCTGAAGCTAGTCAGGGTTATTCAAATAATTGTCAAATAATTGATTAGGAAGCATCTGAATTTTGATCACATGACTATAGCAATAATACTTAGGCTTATATACCGCTTCACAGTGCTTTCCAGCAAACTCTTAAGCGGTTTACAGAGTCAGTCTCTTGCCCCCAACAATCTGGGTCCTCATTTGACCCACCTCAGAAAGCAGAGTCAACCTTGAGCCTGGTGAGATTCGAACTACCAAATTCCAGGCAGCTGGCAGTCAGCAGAAATAGCCTGCAGTACTGCACTCTAACCACTGCACCACAGCAGCTCTTATGGGGAAGATATTAAACTGGGAATACTTGAACAGTCACAAGTGTGAAAAATGATCATAAGTCACTTTTTTTCAGTGCCGTAACTTTGAAAAGTCCCTGAATGAACTGTTGTAAGTCAAGGACTTTCTGTATCCCAGTCAAAAAGCTTAAAAGAGGAAGTTTTTCTGGCCAATTGTTCACATCCACTCATCAATAAGTGGGATGCTGGTTGATGAGAGACATGAGCATTAAAACGTGCAGATTAATAACAGAAGGAAAAAAAAACCTCCATTTGAGGCCAATGTCAAAATAGACCTGTAACTTCTTTGGCTACAAAGTTCACACTAGGTATAGATCCACAACTTGCAAAACAAAAATTACATATGTAAACAACGCCCCCAAATCCTAATTTGCAGATCTCAAACATGACTTTTAAACATTTTGCTAAACACATGCAGTATTCCGGCTTTTGCTGGATTATCTGGATGCATCTTATTTCTTCAAAAGGGCCAGGCCTCACAAAACCCTGCAAGACGAATAGGGATATCACTCAAACTGTGTTCCCTGAAAAAACTACCCTAGTTACACCGTGTGGAGAAATGTTTTAACAATAGAAAGGAAAAGGGACCGAGGAGAGTAAAAAGAAAAGGGTTTTTGGAAGCTGAGATCTCAGGAGGAAAATCTGGGCATTTGTAGGATGCAGTAGTAGGTTGGGCCTCTGTCCTCATTTTTGCTATTAAAAAAAAATGGCCCTTTTCTTCCTACACAGTGGGAGCAGGTTCACAATTGGCTAATTATCTTCCCACGACTCATTTTGCCCTGTTGTTCCTCTGGCTGTTCTTTGCTCAAAATTCATTAGTAACCACAAATAACAAAGAGATGCTGCACTGCTCTTGGGAGAGGGAAAAAAAATCCAGAATCCATTGTTACTCCCAGTTCATTTGGGGCAGGGAAAACAGGCCAGGTTATGTCACCCCCCTGATGGGATGAAAGCTGCTTTAGTAGTGTGGACGGTGGAGGTGCTTTCTTGCCCAGCGTAGTTAGGTCTTCCCACCGAAGAACGGTTCACTGAGATTTTGACAGGTTCTGTCGTGTTGGAGGTACTGAGAACCACATCTACTTGCTGGGTCTTGAAATAGACAATGTAAAACACAGGTAAAACAATTCCTATCAGGAGCATAAGAAAAACTGCTTTCCACCACTGGATCCCATAATCTGCTCCGGTGCAGGTTGCTTTCTGCTCCCGAGATGACCAGTTTGAAGGTTCAATGAAGGGATCTGTACATGAAGGGATTTCCAACTGTGTCACTCTTTCAATGTTTTGGTCAATCCCTCTGAAATATTGATCAAATTGTTCATGGTCGCCACTCCTGTTTTCCGGATCTATGGATACAGAGTGTTCGAGGAGCAGAGCAGGAGTCTGAAGGGGTAGCAACTCATCGCAGGTCTCCGTCAGTAGTCCATTCACCTTGACCGGAATTTTGATGGATTTCAGGGCGTAGAAGTCTTGTTCTTGGATGAAGTTATTAACCCTCTTGATATCTTCAACCTGAAAAATTGGTAAAGGAAAATGTCTATGGAGATTCTTTTTTTTTTTTAACAAAGATGGTTTGGTTTTCATTACTAATTTGGGTGATATGCTCCAGTAATCCCATAAAGATTTTTGCACTAGTTTAATGTAAAGCTCAAGTACAGTCCTAGACACTTCTCTTGCGGAGCCAAAGATTAAGAAAGAGTTCTTGCACCAAACTTCCTCACTTGTTAAAATGTTTAATTACATACATTCAAAACCATTTTGACTAGATCTTAGTTGAGTGTAGTTAGAATACAGAATAGAATAGAATATAGTACAGCACAGCCGTCTCCAATGTCTTTTGAATGTTACACCTTATATTATTTCTACCCAACATGAAATATAGTCCCCTTGCATCTGAACTCTTCCAGTTGAGGGAGTCAATAATATTGCCTAATCAGAACTTTGTAAAGTCTACAAGGAGGCTAAAAACTCCCCAAACAAATTGTGCAAAGATTACCAAAAATAAAGCTTTGTATAATCTGTAATCTCTCTCTATTTATAAATGGCTCTGTGTTTGTATGTTCCAGCATAACTCTGGAACACCTTGAGCAATTTCAACCAAATTTGGTATACAGATGGCTTACTCTCTGGAAAAAAATACTAACACTCCTCAGGGTGTGTGTCCTGTTAAGATACAGCCTGTTGTATCTTAAAATGGCTTCTGCTATACAGCGCAGTGGAGTTGCCTTGGTAACGGCTTCACAGTACTCCACAAGGGGGTTCCCTCTGATAAGGGGGAAAATCCAACATTAGAAATTATGTTTGGTCCAGACATTTTCCCCCTATAAATAAATACCTGGACAATACCATGTTATCAACTAGTCATTTATAACAATTAAATAGTACAACACAACTTTCAAGTCCAAATTAATCCCTGGGGGAGAAAAATCTAAGCAAAATTCATTAATTGTAAAGCAGACCAGCCCATGGTTCAAGTTCTTTTAATTGAGCTTTTTTTATTCCGAGATCAAATTAAATCCACAGTTTAATCTGACTGACTCACTAATCCACTCACTTCACAGAATCTCCATGGAGAAAGGAGGAGGAGAAAGGAGTGTCAACTGCCTTGAGTTACCTCTCAAAATAATAAAGGTGCCATATAAAAAAAATAAATAAAACCAGCCTTGATTTTCAAGTTGCACAATATTCTTCTATCAGCTAAAAAATAATTGACTAAGCTTAATCATTAAAGGACCCAATGCAATCATGGAAGCTCCTAATTCACCCTGATGTGCCAAAGGTGGCATCGGGGAGCAGGCACCTTGGCCAGTGTCTCAACCGGAAAAACTAGATTGCCCTTCCCAGCCTTCAAATATCCTGAACTGGAAAATTAATCCGTGTAAACAATCTTGGCTTGAAATGAAACGCCTCTCAATCCAGTTGGTGGAAACGAGATCCATTTGCTTCTCCTCCAAAGAAGCTGCTACTTACTTTGCACCCGTACTGCAGAGCCAACTTGTTGAGATTGTCGTCTTTTTTAACGACCCGTTCTAGAAGCTGCACATCTCCCACTCTCTTCTGGGAAGAACTGGATGGCTGGGGGTCTTTGCCCCTGGTGCGTAATTCCATGGTGTTGAACTCCTCCTCTGACGAGTCCTCCGAATCGGATTGTCCGCTGCTCCTGAACAAAAACACTTGGCTCCCTGAGAGGTTTTGGACCATTGCAGGAGCTTGGAAGGGCCTGATCAGCCTTTCGTGCAGCCTCATGTTGTATAGCAACCTCTGCAAAAGGAAAAGTATTATTCATCAAGCGAGCCGCATTATTTAAGGACGGAAGTTGAGGCAACAACTCCGAAAGATCATTCATGTTGACATGCTACGCCATGAGATACGGTCCCCCCTCCTAAAGAAACAAGTTCCTTTTTTTTTTTTCATTTTTAATGTTCACATCCCATGGCATATATTTCTTATCAATGTCTTTGGTCTTGTTAGCCTCATCATCCTTTAAGTATGAAGGCTGGGAATGTGCTAATCTGGTGCCATCCAGAGGTGGAGAGATGAACCTGAAGACAGTCTTGGATTTCTAAGAATGGAGAAAAAGTTTGCACTTTGTTGTAAAAATAGGCTTTTAGTTTATTTTTTTAAGATATATATGTGCATACATCGTAGCCGTGCATATGAGGAAGCTTTTAGCTTCAAAGGCAGTGTCATATTCAGTTTTCCCCAATCCTTGGTGATTTTAAGATAATCTTAGACTCAACTCCATGAATGCCTTAGCCAGCCTTAACAATTAAGTAATACACCAATGTCAATTCCCCCCCTCCCGGCCCCACACTCCAAACATTTATTGGGAATCCAGTATACTTCCACTGAAATCCCCACTGTTGTATCTCTATTCATGCATTCGCTATCCATTTGGGGCTGCCCCTGAAGAGTGTTCGGAGACTACAGCTGGTCCAGAATGCAGCCGCGCGAGCGATATCGGGTGTACCTAGATACACCCATGTTACACCTATCCTCCGCGAGCTGCACTGGCTTCCTATCGGTCTCCGAACGCGCTTCAAGGTGCTGGTTATCACCTTTAAAGCCCTACATGGCCTAGGACCCGGATATCTCTGAGACCGCCTCCTGCCACATACCTCCCAACGGCCGATAAGATCTCACAGGCTGGGCCTCTCCGGGTGCCGTCAGCTGGACAATGCCGGGCAAAGAACAAACGGCAGGAAGGGAAATCGTCTTTCGAAGAGAAACACCGTTTCCAAATAAATGCAGCTTTCCCCGCCTTTCCAGATCTCTGCCTTGATTTGAAACGAACCTTTAAGCTCCATAAACCTCAGAAACGTTTGCTACGATGAAGGAGCCGGATTCTCCATTCCTGCTGTTTGTTCTTTGCCAGGGAATTCAACGCTTTGCCTGCAAGGATCGTGGGAGAAAAGGGGGATTTTACGGGGAGAGAAAACCGCCCTGGGACTCCC